ATATACATATATATATATATATATATATATACATATATATATACATACATATATATACATACATATATATATACATACATATATACATACATATATATATACATACATATATATATACATACATATATATATACATACATATATATACATACATATATATATATATACACATATATATATACACACATATATATATATATACACATATATATATACACACATATATATATATATACACACATATATATATATACACACATATATATATATACACACATATATATATACACATATATACATATACACATAGGGGCATGGATTTCTAGGAATATCAGAAACAAAATGTTTGAAAGGGACCGTTTGAAAAGAAAAGCAATTTTGTCGGATTTAAGTGAAGATTGGAGCCAGTATAAACATTATAGGAATAATGTCAACATTGCAATGCGTGAAGCTAAGAAAGTTTACTACAAAAGCAAATTTGACAAACACCAAAACAATCCAAAACAGGCTTGGAGGACGATTAATGATATCCTTGGGAGAAAAAAGAAGGACACAATGATTAACGAATTAAAGCTAGGAAATGATACAATTACTTCTCCTGTGAGAATGGCTAATTGTCTTAATGACTATTTTACAAGTATTGGTGGTAAAATTGGAGACTCCTGCTCTGAACACACTCAAAATTTAAATTTTGGCAGGCATATGAGTGATAATCTAAATACTAATTGGAATTTACTTTGCATCCTGTTAACGAATCACAGGTTTTTAGGCTACTTAACAATTTGTCTATTTCTAAATCTACTGGATGTGACAAAATACCGGCTAAAATTCTAAAAAAATCTGCTTCTGTAATTACACCATCTTTGACCAATTTGTTTAACTCTGCTATTGGGATGGGAATTTTCCCCTCTGAATGGAAAATTGCTAGAGTTATACCGCTTCATAAGAAGGGTTCACGCTCCGTTTTAGACAATTATAGGCCAATATCAATTTTGCCGGTCATCAGCAAAATATTTGAAAAGATCTTGTATGAGCAGTTATACGAATATTTTACCACAAATAATTTATTGTCTGAACAGCAGTTTGGGTTCAGGCGCTTTCATTCCACGTCCACTGCTTTGCTTGAATGTACTGATGAGTGGTATGTTAATATGGATCGTGGTTTGTATAATCTTGCCGTTTTTCTCGATTTAAAAAAAGCATTTGACCCGGTAAACCACGACATTTTACTGGCTAAACTAGAGTTATATGGTATTAAGAACACGCCTCTTATGCTTCTCAAATCGTACTTATCAGATCGATCTCAGAAATGTCAAGTAAATGGGGAACTTTCCACACTAAAATATCTAAAATATGGCGTTCCCCAGGGTTCAATTTTGGGTCCACTTCTGTTTTTAATTTATATCAATGATTTGCCGAATTGTTTACAACACTCTACAGCACGCATGTTCGCCGACGATACTAACATCACAGTGTCCGGTAAATCAGTTAAGGAAGCGGAGGTGGCCGTTAATGTCGATCTCAATAATATCAGAGAATGACTTCTATCGAACAGGCTCTCTCTTAACCTTGTCAAAACGGAATATCTTTTGATTGGATCACGCCACAATATTAACACGTTAGAAGAACAACCGCGTGTTTTTATTGGAGATGAACCAATTAAAGGGGTTCAAGTTACAAAAACTCTTGGAGTCAAAATTGATCAATTTTTAACTTGGGACAGTCATATTGACCAAATTTCTAAAAAAATATCTTCTGGAATAAGTGCCATGAAAAAGATAAAGGATTTCACTAATTCTGATACTTTGAAGTCGGTCTATTATGGTCTTGTCCAACCCCATTTCGACTACTGTTGTGAAGTTTGGAATTCCATTAATAGAGGCCAGTCTGAACGACTACAAAAACTTCACAACAGATGTGCTAGAATTATAATGAACTTTAAAGATGAGCCTGGGCAATCTCAACTGGCCCTCGATCAATTAGGGTGGATAAGCTTGGAAGAAAGGCGAAAACATAATATGGCCCGTCTCATGTTTAAGGTTGTCAATAATTTGGCACCATCGAGGTTCTCATCAATGATCCAGAATTCTAACCATATCCACAGTTATAATTTACGAGGTTCAAATTCGTCTCTCTTTCTGCCACGACCAAATACCGAGTATGGCAGAAAATGTTTTCGATATAGTGGGGTTAAAATCTGGAATAGCATTCCTGAACAAGTAAGAAACAGCGAATCTTTAAATTCTTTCAATAGAAATATTTCCTCTGTTAGTCTGACGAATTAGCTATTTGGTTTTGTATACCATTTGTTTTGTAATATGTATTTGTATTCGTAGTTCTTAATTTTCTTAGTGATTTTGTATTTTATATATTTTTGTAACATTTATCTACGCCCCACTTGGAAAGCAGCTATGGTTGAAGTGGCCAGCGTAGTCAAATAAAGTTTTATCCTTATCCTTATGTAAGGGAATTGATTCAGGCCGCGTTTACACTACGACGCTACGGCAAATTTACCGTAACTATAGTGATTTGCATCCGGAGTGCCAAACGTGGTGGTCCGTAGTTAATGCGCTACGGCAAATGAAGACGTCTAGAGTTGGCCATCATTTGCCGCCTATTAAATGAGTGATATTTTTCATACGCTGGCATATATACGCTAGTACGATACGCAATAGTGTGACAGGGCCTTAAGAAACGTAGTGAATTTTTAACGATATTGATTTCCGCAGTTAATACGCTACGGCAAACCACTCCGTTATAGTGTAAACACAACATAGTCTCAATACTAGAAACGTAGTAAATTTTTAACGGAGTGTTTAGCCGTAGCGTCATAGTGTAAACGCGGCCTCAGTGTTTATAACACTCTGTCAGTTCCCTCAAATATTTCAGTCGAACAAATCTTTCAAAACCTAGAATTTTACCTATGCAAAATTCCTACTGTGACCACAGAAACTTTGATAGTATAAATCAGCCTTTAAAACAGACAGTCAAATAATGTATGATTTTTGAATCTACGAAGTAGATTATATGCTATCGACGTGTTAGCCGTTCACTGTTAACTTAGCCAATCAGCGACCAGTATTACCAAAAATTACGTAATTACAAATCACGGCTTGGTCGCGAGACAATCACAATATGGCGGTAAAGAGGGGTTAACATTTATGATTTATATTTATTCACACATTGAAATATGATGACTTATGGATGAAAATGGAGCGAATCAAGGTATATTAATCTTGGAACTACGTGTCTGTTTTGTAGTAGCTTGCTTGCTGTACATTTTTCAGCAATTTACGAGATAATACGTATTGGTTTTCGAAGCGTCTTCCACTTGTGTTTCCTATTTGGAGTCATCTGGACACTTAACACATCTGGACACTATGAAGGCGAAATTTGGTAAAATATGAGCTACAGAATTATTTTAAAGTATAACAACTGGCGAAGAAGTAAGCCACTAAGGTTTTGAGTGTTTGACAAATAAAGGGGGAAGCTGGTCAACTCGGCCCACTGACCAACTCGGCCCATACCATCTTGGCCCAATTGTTAACTACTGTTTGACATATTAGGAAAGCTAATATTTTACAAAAGATAGCACCAAACCAATACAGCCATTTGCAGTTGCATTGAACATCCAGTTTGATTTAATTTAATTAAAGAATCTATCGAAGTTTCAAATTCTCGATCTGTCCGTTTTGATATTAAATTACCGATCATTCAAATCTCTCTCGAAATTTACAAAGATAGAACGTAGTCATGGCTCCTAGCTTGCTTAATGGTTAGATTAGTCAGTTTACAAGCGGGCAGAGTTGGTCTTTGAACGGTGGGCCGAGTTGGTTATTGGACCGAGTTGACTGTAAAGCAATAAAGGGTTATAAAGCTGATTGCGCGTTCTAAGTCTGTATCATGCAGCGCCGATTCTCACTCCTGCTTACAGTTTCTCATATGAAACAATTATGTTAAGTACATAAATACACAGCGTATATTAATATTGTTGGGCTCATCGCGCACTTTCATTGAGTGCCAATGTTTAATTTTTGGGACGTAACTCTCCAAGATGTTGCTTGTGATGTTACTCTGAGTGTATATCCACACCAGGCAGGCTTGAAAAATATGCCTGGCCACCGTGGGAATCGAACCTACGACCTTTGGAATACTAGCCCAATGCTCTGCCAACTGAGCTACGCGGTCAGGTCGGTTCGAGTATGTGACATTTCGGAACCGAATCTAGTTCCTTCAATATCTCCAAGATGTTGTTGTTAGAATTCCGAAATGTAACACGATCCGATATGAAGTCTGTGCTCATGTCGAATATTATTTCACTCAATGTAGACACAAATACACAATAAAAGTGCAACAGTGATGTATTTATGCGTGATTCTTGTTCGCGTTTAACTACATATTGTACTTATCCTGTCTCTGTTTCAACATATCATTTACGAACAATTGAAAATACTTTATTTATTAATTATATTCTGATGTGTTTCATAATATCGTGTTTTACGGCAGGAGCATTGGCCTTATATAGGTCAGTGGGCAGGAGTTCACGAATTCAAAACGCGTTCGGATTCTGCACGCATAAGACACAGTTACTGTGGGTTTTTACTACCATTGTACCAACGATGGATTTGTTTAAGTGTGCTATTAAGTATCGTCCTACAATTAGAATTGTAAATATTTTAATGTGGAATAACCGTTTTAGCGCAAATTACTGGTATATCAATAACCTGTTTATGCACGCATATATTATTTTCTGATTATGTTCTTGACTACCTAGTGCTTGGCGGCCATTCACTTTCTAAAGTTGTCGATTGGCTATTGGGTAGGGTGGGGCAACGATTTATTGCTATTCGTAGATTCATGTACGCGTAGCGTACCTATTTTTGCTCCATGTTAAGAAAATAACTGAAGTGAACTTAATTTTTGGCGATTTTATTCAGTTCACAACACAAGAGCCAGTTTATGTTCAATCCAATCATGATCTTGGATCGTGCGATGAAGAGAACTACGGCCGACGTGAATTGATTAAAGACAGTGATGGCAACGAAACACTCCTCATTTGCTCTCACGACAACGGTGTTTATTCATGGAAAGAAGACGCTATGGAAACGGAAAGTACGATAGTTTCTGTTTTAAGTTCTTTGAATGTTTGTATGGCAGCGATAAAAGTTGTGGCTTGTGAAAAACACCATTTATATTTATTATTGCAAAGCATTCGGATCCGTAAGCCTCCGTCCTTGAAATGTAGAGCCAAGCATAAAGGCTGATTTTACACTATCAAAGCTTCTGTGATTACAGTAGGAATTTTGCATTGGTAAATTCTAAGTTTTAAACAATATGAAGAAATTTTTGAAGGAACTGACTCGGTGCTGTTTCTTGTGACTGAGTACAACTTCGGAAGGCTATTAATTTTATTCATTATTCTGAAAAAAGTGACAACCAGATCATATAATATCATTTGTAGTTGATGATACGGATCATGTTATGGAAGATGTCATGTTGAAGCGTGAAGCAGCCACAGAATTCTTCCAACGTGATCGTCGCGGCAGTTTGCTTCATGAATGCTATACGGAATGCTGCAGTTGGGAGGAAGTTCGTGAAAATTACGGAAATGACAGAAGGAATGCAGTACGTTTGACTTCAGGCCTTTTTCACTGGATTTGAACGAATCTAAAACTGGGGCGCCCTCCTCGCACCCTTGGCGACCTTTAAATGTGTGACCCTTTGTGACCCTTTAAAAACGTGTCATCTCAAGGATTGTAATTAAGCTACACATGCATCCAATCCAAGCTGTATCAATAAAATATACTCTTTTTTAATATTTTAGATAAAATATTGGAATAAATTCCGAATGTGGAAGAAAAAGAATAAGAATAAGTGCAAACACGTAAGGATTAGTAATTTTTAGATCATAACTAAAAGTGATGCCATACTATGAAGTTTCTAAAAAACTCGGCAATGAATTTGAACACCTTTTAGTGGCCAATTTTAGCTGTTGACTACAGACAATTTTAAATCCATATTTGAGCGGACGCGTTGTTATTATCAGTTTGCAATTTCACTTTAATAAGACTGTTTAATTAATTAAATGGTATGGCAATAAAAATTAAATTTATCTTGTTTGATAGAACTTTTAAAATGATATATAAAACTCCTTCACCGATTTTTCATATCTTGCTCGAGTTTTGAAATATTTAACTGGAAACAATGGGCTGTGCGCCATCTTGGATTTAGTTCGATCTCATGAACGGTGTTTCTGGTGACGTCAAAAGCAGGGTTAGTCATATAAAACTACTCCTAGGTGACCAAATAACAACTAGTACACAGATGCCTATGTCAGTCAATTTCGGTTATTTCGGAAATAGTGGCCGAAATATCATTTATGGCTTATATAATGACATTTATGCAATGCATATCCGCAATAATCCAAGATGGCGGGCAGCTCACTGATTTCTGAAGATTGTGGTCTAAATATTTCGAGAACTATATAAGCAACATTTCAAGAAGCTGTAAAAAAGGTTTTCCCTATAATTTTAAAAGTTCTTTCCTATGAGACAAATTTATATTGCCATTTTCCTTTAAGCTAGAAACTAATAACTGAGAATACAAATGCGAGGAGTATCAGTATGTACTTGCGTGTCTTGTCTTATTTTTTACAGAGAAGATGGACGTGGTGAATGGATGAAAAACGGACACTGATGTGGAAATGTTTCATTTGTAGACGAATTTATATCCGGAAAAGTGAAATACGCAAAAGTGATCCTAAATTATCAGTGTAGTGATTGTAATAGCGTTAATTAAACAATAAAATTGTGTGCATGCAACATCTGTTCATTAATTTGATAATTTCCGCTTGGTTCGATCCTAAAGTGGCCTAGTAGAAGTCCAGTAAAGCTCGACTTTCAATGTATTCAGTGTCCAATTGATTTGAAAACTAGGACTGAAGAGAGTATCCTTTTGATTTTAAAGCAAGAATATTTATAATGAGATAAGATTTTAGTATGCAGTCAAAATCTTTGCAAATCGGATAGCGACGTTTTTAAAGCAGCTATATTATTTTTAAAATAAGTTAGTAACAAGTTGGGTTGGTATCAGTACGAGCTTGTTGTCATCAACTTGTTAATAGCTTGTTATACGTGCGGATGGTAGATCTGTTGCGAGTCTGTTGGCCTTGTCAACCTTGCTACAAACTTGTCCACAACTGGGAACAAGCAGTGCGAACACATCTTATTGACAAGCTGTGCATGAAGATTTTTACGCGTGTAATACAGGTATAGCCAATTTGACAAAGCCAAGAAAGATATACTCAAAGCTCGGGTTCTCGTTTGGCCAGTTGAGTTCAACTTTTGAATTTTGATCATTGCCTACACGCCCACCCCACCTTGTCCACATTTCTTCACATATATTACGGCCAATATTAATAAAATCAATTTAAATGCATTTTAGCCAAACATAATTAATGAAATATCATGCAAGCTTTTGTACCATGTATGGCGGGTAAATGGCGCTGAGACACTTCAGCAATGATGCAGAATTAGCGGTGAACATCAAGAGAACGCCCTCATATTCTGATCATGTGGGAAACGTATCGACGAACATCATGCAACCACGCATTATTGAAAATTTCTTCCTTCCTATCCCGAAAATTAGACAATACCAATATGGCTATGTTCCAGACTCTCACATAGTTAATTATTTCGAGAATCTGATCTAAGACTAAGAGATGAATTTTGACACTAAGATTATTAAAGTTGGTCTATAGTAGAACCAATGTCATGGTTGTTTCAAATAGAATATTCTGTTTCAAATTCTGTTCCAATAGAATAATGTTAGGGAACTCGATGCAGACTTATAATAGACCCAATTATCTATACGTTTTTGGCTGTCGGTTCATCGTCACGTGTGTATTGTTTTTTCGCCCAACCAACCAACCAATCGCAGTGTGTTGGATAATTACTTATAGTCATGATATTACACAATGGTTAAAGTGCCTATGACACGAAATTCCACCCCAAAGGTTTATGGTTGCATTGTAAAGATCACTTAAAAGGACTTAGTAATTTCTTTTATAGAATTTTGGTAACTTGCTTCCTTTTCAAGATATTCAACTTTGTTTCATATGCAAATATCACCGGTGTGACATCACATAATGAGTTTTCAGAAAAGTAGGCCTATACTTTTCTTGACGAATACGTATCTAAAAAACTTAAAGATTGCCCTTGTATATGTATTACTTTCATAACTGGTAATTAACCCTCTGTATTTGTTTGTAAAAATATTTTATCAAGGTAAAATATTGCGTTTTCAAAATGTCATTATGCGATGTGATGTCACACCGGTGATATTTGCATATGAAACAAAGTTGAATATCTTGCAAAGGAAGCAAGTTACCAAAATTCTATAAACTAAAGAAATTATTAAGTCATTTTAAGTGATCTTTACAATGCAATCATAAACATTTGGGGTGAAATTTCGTGTCATAGGCACTTTAATTGAAAACATGGCTATATTGGTTGCCCTAGCGAAAATACAATGCACACGTGACGATGAATCGACCATTTCTTGCATAAACCAAGACAATTAGACAAAAAACATAAATAATGAGGTCTATTATCACCTTATTCTATTGACTATTGTTCATCCAATAAACCATTGAAATCATGATGCAGCGTCAAAATAATTGTGTGTGTGTGTGTGTGTGTTATGATAACTCCAAAAATAAGAAAAATCGTATTAATTAATATGAAAATTTGTAGGCCGGCTAATGGCAACAAGCCAAAGACAAATCGATTAAATTTTGGTTTAATTTGGACAAAAACTGACTATGAGAAATTGGCAAAGGTTTATCACACAGTCTCTGAGAGCCCACTCGTATCCGTTCACAGTTGTCAATAGACGAAATTACTTGATACTTTTGTATTCGAGCCAAAACATACTTACTAAACTTTTGAAAGCACTTATCTTCCCTGAAGTAGCAATAGTAAGTGAATGCACATAAAGACCAGTTTACACTTTCGGTGCGATTGTCTTGTTCTGATGGATGTGAACAAGTGTATGAGTTATGAATGTTGAGATGAGGGTACATCACTGAGTCGTACACTCAGAACATTCATCACTTATTTACTCGTTCACATCCACCAGAAGAAGGAAATCGCAGCAAAAATTGCAAGTATAAAATTGGACCTTAAAACACTCCAAACTACTTGAACGTTTTATTAGGGAGTTTACGCATGTAAGACGGCGGTTGTCAGGACGACGGCTAAACAAGCTGTTTGAAACAAATGATTGTATGGGAATATTGTCTTGTATTTACTTTCGTATGAATTTAATACAGTTTAATTGGAGAGAGTAAAACAGAACTTTAACTTTCGGAGCAATTTTGATGAACTCTGCCAGAAGTATTGCCTGTCATGGCTTGAAATGCTCGAGTACTCTACAAGACGTGAAAATATGCATTTTGCCGTCGTCAACAGAGACCAGACGACGTCTGAAACTCCAGATATACTTTTAATTATTCATTTCTTTTGTGCTATAGGATTAATGTCATTGTATTGATAGCCGTCGTCCTGACATTGCCGTCTTACATGCGTAAACTCCCTATTGTGTTGGCGCGGTCATGAGCCGTAAAAATATGTAAATAGAATGCTTATGGCATGCAAATTATAGTCGCCTTTGTCTTAGAGTAAAGATGCTATTGTTGGTGAGCACGTTCTCGTTGCCATTGCATTTGCCAAACTCTCTATGTCCTCTATGACTATAGTAAGGCTGTACAAAACTCACAAATTGTGTAGGTATAAGTCAAACCACAATGGTCATGAGAAAGATGCACGAGGGTTATAGTTAAATAAACAAAAGGAAGATTTATTGTCAAGAGCTTGGCGTAGGAGTGTGCATTGACGCAACTAAACCACTTGTCTTGTCACGCTATCCCGCTTGCCATAATGTGAGCTGCAATACTAGAAGTTACTATCGCAAGTGAAGTGCTTCCTCAGATATTACGCACTGTGGTTTGTTTTATAGGTTGTGGTCTGTTTTCCAAAGTTACTGATCACAATGACAGAACAAATGTAAATGTTCAAGCGGCCAAATGCTGTCCATATAAACTCATAATCCTAGCGCGATCTCAATTTATAACTGGATAAAATTAGGCACTGTCTGCAAACAGTGCCGGTTTGTCAGGGGAGCGGGATGCACTCCGCAAAGCAGACTATATGTGAAGTATATCAAGATTTTGTTGGCATCTCCTCGACTGAAGCGTTTTGTAAATGGAAATGTGATGAGTGTACTGTGTAACCCCTTGTCTTGTCACGCTATCCTAAGTCCTAACCAATATAAATAATAATAATAAGTCTTTATAATTAATCAATCATAAGATAAAGATACATATCTTATGTTACATTTAAAACTACGAAATACTACACCGGCCTACACTACACTAAATGTGGTTTCAAAATTGTGAGCTATCGTGTAAATTGAGGGTCAGTTGCATGATTACCAACTGCTCTTCAACTGCTTCCGATTACGTCCTAATATATTGTTTTTGCTCCAAATCCCCATCTACGAAAAAGACCTATATTGGCAACTGACTCTCGCTAACAAATCGTGCCTCGCAATTTTCCAGACAATTCTCATAATATCATATTGCGATACGAATCAAAATGAACATTCCTGAAACTAAATGGCGAAGCCTTTAGTGTAGAGGAAATGTGTAGTTAATTCGACTTGACCTGTCAATCGCCGATCACATAAAATATTAAATAGTTACTTTTTAGCATCCACGCCTTATCTGAGAAAAGTCCCGGACTTACATATGTGTTGTAAATCACTGTTTGTAATTTCATGAATGGTATTCGCAAGTACTCAATAATTTAACAAAATAAAAAATAAAACAACTTTTTAAGCCATATTGATATATCGATTCATACAGCGATTATAGAGTATATGTAAACATAGACATAGTGATCTAAATGAGATAGGGGGCGAGCGACATTTTTTTCATGGCATGTAGTAATACAAAGCTCACCAATTAATCTTATATATATATATATAGGGTCAATTTTGTAAATAATCCTTGTGAAACAAATTCTTCTCTTCAATTATCAAGATATTTTAATCATATAATTAAATATATTACGGCTAATAGCTATTCAAACAATTATGACTCTGATTGCAAAAAATAGTTATAATTTTGTTCTGACAATTTCTGAAACTCATCAAGTGTAGGCTATATCATTATTAGTTTGTTCCTATAATTAAGGTATTCTTGTGGTTTTATATGTATCTATATCTATGATATCTATATACCAAAAGTGGTATTTATGCAGTTAACTAATATTATTATAATTATCACTTATACTTTATTGTATGAAATAGATATAGCTATATACCCGTGACCATAACTGCGACTCGCATGCATTTAAAAAAATAAAAAGCTCCTACCCCACCTAAAATGGTTGGGTCGCTTAACATGAAGTATTACTTTTATGGCTATATATAGGTTTGCCGCACTTATACACATGAACTATAAATCTTTCCTTGTCCAAATCTTTTCCTTGTGCAGTCAGATCCTATATCCATACAGGACAGTGCATATAATCTAGATATGCATAAATGAAGTCAATACAGGCAGCCACAAATCCGATTGTGGCACCGGTTGCTCGGATATAGGCCACTGAACTGACTAAAAGAGCTCCTTGCTCCGTTCTGGTTATTGGTAGGATATAGGAAACCTAGTGTCTATGATAACAAGAACCTCGCCATGGCGCAGTGATCTCTCTTTCTTCTTTGCGAGTGAATAACTATAATATTGCTGCTGTGAATTGCATTATCTAGTAATGTGTTCTATACGTTCTAAAACTCATGTGAAAGAATTTTGCAGACTTATTCGAAAATCCCTTCTCACTCTTCTTAATTCTCATTATAAATATTGTGGATTTGTGGTCATCAGCCGTATAGGCCACTAAACTGACTATTTAAAAGAGCTCCTTGCTCCGTTCCGGTTAAGTTATTCGTAGGATATAGGAAACCTTAATTTATTTGGCTATTGTCTACAAGAAACTGGCCATGGCGCAGTGATCTCTCTTTCTTCTTTGCGAGTGAATAACTATAATATTGCTGCTGTGAATTGCATAATATAGTAATGTGTTCTATACGTTCTAAAACTCATGTATAAAAGGATTTTGCAGACTTATTCGAAAATCTCTTCTCACTCATGTAAAAGGATTTTGCAGACTTATTCAAAAATCACTTCTCATTATAAATATTGTGGATTTGTGGTCATCAGATTCACAGGTCACTCCTAAGCTTCGTCAATGTATACACCCATAAATTCGTGAGTCATTACAGTTTGAACATAAAGGGATTTTTCTCTTGCGTTGCGGAACAGGATGTTGGTCTCAGCGGCATTTAAAAATTCATACCAAATTTGGAAGTGCTACTTGCGTGGTTAAGTTTATGCAATGACTCTCAAGGTCGCACCCACGAGTGTTGGAGAGTATAAATACGTTTGCGCTTGCACGTTTACAGTATCAGAATTGAAATCTTAGACAACAAGCTCACAAGATCGATAGAGGCTCATTTTGTTGGAGTTACACAGTCAAAAGAAAATACAAAAGACAATAGAAAAAATGAAGCTATCTTTGGTTTTCTTCGCTGTAGTTTTAAGTGCTGTAGTTGTGTTTAACGAAGGTAAGTTTTTACAATACTTCATATGTAGTAATAGTGTTTCGCTATCTTGGCTTAAAAATAAATAAAAGGGCTCAGCAAATGACTTTTAAACTACACATTCTTGAGTATCAGAGGATTTTACTCGAAATTTGAATTCAATGTTAGAATTTTGCATGATTATCGCACAACCGCGTAAATCCGTTATCCGCGTATACAGCTATTTCAATTAAGGTTGTCCACGAGTAAAGCGGAAAAGTCGAATACGAGCGCGAAAGGCTGCTGGGAATCGCTAAAACATTAATGAATTTATGTTGTAAAATGCGGATAATATAACCCTGCGAAGTTTGCCGTTTTTCAGTCATTTTGTATTACGCGGGGGAAATTGACAGCCCAATACCCTTTGGGGCTGTCAATTTCCCGTTTGTAATACAAAATGACTGAAAAACGGCAAACTTCGCAAGGCTATATTATCCGCATTTTACAACATTTCGCAACGGAACTTTGGAATATTACTAGTAATTTTGTGATGCTCTTTCAAGCTGTGATGAAATTTTTGTCTAGATTTGTTGAGATCAAAATTTAGTCTATAATGCAAATGGAACCCCTTCGTCAATCACTTTTATTTCATTTTCTTAATTCTGTATTTTGCAGCTTGTAATCCGGGTGGAAACACCAGACGTACATCACCCACAGAACGACCCACATCTCGCCCCAGCACCGTCAGACCGAATAAAATTCACCGACGAATTTTCCGTTTCATCGTAACATCGAAACCAGCGCTGAAGAAGACATGCAATGCACCGAATGAATGTTTGACTGACTGTGGGGTAAATAAATACGTTCTTGGAAGATACGGCTGCAATAGAGGATCATGGTGTTGCGCAAGCAGATAAGGAAGGACTACAAAATATAGGAAAGCTTTGGAAAGCTTGAAATAGTACAAAATGAATTATTTTGTATTTTTTTCGAATTGTTGCCTGGAAATGGATTTTGCATGGATAGTAATCCAATATACATTATGCACAAAGTATTTATTTCCACTGCCTATGAATATAGTGTTGTAAAATAGACGATTATCATCGATAAGCAGATTTGCTGTGAATGTATTTATAAATAAATAAAGACACGATAAGCTGACTTGCTGTGTATGTATGTATGTATAAATAATTAAATAAAGACGAAGAAATACTATTTGTTGGTATTTTAATATTAAGTGCCACTTAACTCCGATATGATTTTTGGTATGTGAAAAAAATTGGATTATTCCAAAATAATACTTTGGTCACTATAGTTTAAATAACAAATCTCGTGAGAACGTTTTAAATGTCTACTAATTGTAGATATTAAGTAGTTATGTTAAGTACCTAACCACGCTTTGACGTCATTAAAACAATTGTCGTTAATGAGGTCAAACATTTATTGAAGATGGCGCACAATCTTGGACAAACCCCTTGAGACCATGCATTCCAGCCAATATTACAAAGTTTTTGAACATTGACAAAACAAATTTTCTCCCCCCTCCCCCTCAGTTCAATGTTGTAAACAACGCCGAAACAACTTTTGGTAATTTACCATGACACAAGTTCAACATTGAGTTGGGGGAGCGGGGGTTAAGAAGGGTAACATGGTTCAACATGGAATTTATCATAAAAATATGCGAATTTTGTATAGGGGGGGGGGGGGAATAGTCTCGACCAGTTATGTAGTACAAGGTACGTCTAAGTCGCTATACCACCAACAACCTTCCCCCGCCAGGTGTATTATTTTGTATCAAACACCGGAGATAATGGCACTTACAATGCCCTTCTTACTCAGCATTTCAATTTTCAAAATTTTTGCAGTGTGCATTCTTTGTTTGTTTTTTGCGCATGAATATTAGAGTGAATTGAACCAGTACATACCACAAAATTCACATGTCCATTTACAGTATTGCTCCATGTATGGATGGAATCTATGATCCTCAGAGAAACCAGAATTGTGAATGGAAAATTCTAGAAGTGAATAAGTAGGACCAATTTTAAAATACAAAACTAATTTTAAAATATTGTACACTTCTCTAATACGGACACACCAAGAATCCAATATGGACACCTCCCTAATACGTTAACATCTCTAATACGGATATCTCTCTAACATGGACACCTCTCTAAAACGGACACACCTAGAATCCAATATGGACACCTCCCTAATACGTTCACATCTTTAATACGGAAATCTCTCTAATGTGGAAGTCTCTCTAATACTGACACCTCTCTAACATGGACATCTCTCTAATATGGACATCTCTCTAATATGGACACCTCTCTAATATGGACACCTCTCTAATATGGACACCTCTCTAATATGGACACCTCTCTAATATGGACACCTCTATAATATGGACACCTCTCTAATATGGACACCTCTCTAATATGGACACCTCTCTAATATGGACACCTCTCTAATATGGACACCTCTATAATATGGACACCTCTCTAATATGGACACCTCTCTAATATGGACACCTCTCTAATATGGACACCTCTCTAATATGGACACATCTCTAACATGGACACCTCTCTAATGTGGACACCTCTCTAATATGGACACCTCTCTAATACGGACACCTCTCTAATATGGACACCTCTCTAATATGGACACCTCTCTAATATGAACACCTCTCTAATATGAACACTTCTCTAATATGGACACCTCTCTAATATGGACACCTCTCTAATATGGACATCTCTCTAATATGGACACCTCTCTAATATGAACACCTCTGTAATATGAACACCTCTCTAATATGGACACCTCTCTAATATGGACACCTCTCTAATATGGACACCTCTCTAATATGGACACCTCTCTAATATGGACATCTCTCTAACATGGACACCTCTCTAACATGGACATCTCTCTAACATAGACACCTCTCTAATATGAACACCTCTCTAATATGAACACCTCTCTAATATGTACACTTCTCTAATATGGACATCTCTATAATATGGACACCTCTCTAATATGGACACCTCTCTAATATGGACACCTCTCTAATATG